AACGATTTTCTTTTGAAAATAAAAATAGATTTTGAAAGCCAAAATGAAATTTTGAAAAATGATTTAGAGCTTTCAAAAATAAAAATTGATAGTTTTGAAAAACAAAATTTTGATTTAAAAGTTAAGCTTGAATGCTTAACAAAAGAAAAAGAAATCATTTTAAATAATTCATTTAGTTCAATAATGACAATATGCTCACATTGTCATTATCATGGTCATTTGGAACATACTTTTCCTTTTGAAGAAAGGAAAACGTTTTAAAATTAGGCAAGTATGGGTTCCAAAAGGAACAAGGGGCATTGAAACTAACGTCCAAGGATCCAAAGCAATTTGGATACCAAAATCTACTTAAATGTCTCTTGTAGGTGTGTGGGAGAAATGGTGATGAGAGTGATGATATTCAAGATGAACATTTATTTTTGAGAATTTTTAGTTCATCATAATGAATTTTGGTCAAAATTGGTTTTAAATGCAAATGATATCTCTCTAATAATTGTTATTAACTTTTCAAATGTTTTGAATTTACAAATTTTAAATTTTTGACCTAAATTTAAATGATTATGCATATGGTTTAAATGAAAATGATATCTCTCTAACAATTGATATCAAAATTTTCAAAATGCATAACATTTGTGGGAACTTTATGCAAATGCACTTAATTTTAAACAATTGGTATTGCATAAAGTATTTTAGACTTGGATATATTGAATTTCATGTACTACTAACATGTTTGTTATTCTTTGTTGAAATTCAATTTTGTTTAAGTGTCAAGTTCTTAAAGCTAAATTTTATTTGGAATGTATTTATTGAGGGGGAGTTTTTGATTTTTCAAATAAATTTTTAAATGTCAAATTTACCACTTACTCTCCAAAGTTATTTTAAACTTCAAAGATCGAATTATTTTTGATATAACAAAAAGGGGGAGAAGTTTAGTTTGAAAAATTCAATTTCTTAATGAAAAAGGGGGAGCTTAACATTTTCATATGTTTTCCAACAACTAGTATCTTTTTCATTAAATATTTTATTAAGGGGGAGTTTTTGCCAAAAACAATTTTTCAAATGTTTTGGTATATCAAAAAGGGGAGATTGTTGAACTATATTTCGATATAACAATTTAAGGCAAAATGGTTTTTGGACTTGAATTGAATTTACAAAATGTATTTGGACTTAATTGAATTTATTCAAAATTTACAAAAATAATTCAAAGTTCTTTTAATTTAAAATTGAGCACAAAAATGTTTTTATGAATATTATGAAGGGGAACCGATTCCTCCCAAGGGGGTACCGATTCCCTCATTGTTCATCAGCCCAACGGTCATAATATTTGAATATTATGAAGGGGTATCGATTCCCTATGAAGGGGTACCGATTCCCCCCATTCTGGGCAGCCTATTTTAGCAGAAAAATCATTCCCAAACGGCTCCAAAACATCCCCGACGGTTAGATATGACTTCAAAAACATTCCAAGCTATAAATACAAGCTAAGGACACTTGAAGAAGAAAATGAACAACTATCCAAGAAATCAAACACAAGAGAAGAGTTTTTCATTCTTATTTAATCTTTCTCTTGTAAATATTTTGTTCTTGTGAGCTCAATCTTGTAAACACCTACCTTAGAGATGTTTTCTTGTTTACATCTTTTATCCTATTGTAAAGGGGAAAGGTTCTAGCTTATCCCATGTAAAAGCTAGGGAAAGGTTCTAGTTTAGCCCAGAAAAACTAGGGAGTTGTAAGGTTATTTCTTTGTCCTCAAAAGAAAGAACAAATTAGTGAATTTGTTGGAAAATCCTTGGTGAGGAGCTAAGGTAGTGGATGTAGACTTTGGTTGAGAAAGTCGAACCACTCTAAATCGCTGTGTAATTTTCTATCTTTAAATCTCCTTACTCCTTAAACACAAAACCGTTCCGCTCCCCTCTTTGCAAACCGTTTCGGTTGTTGATTCGAGCTTCCAAAAATCCTAACAATTGGCATCAGAGCCTAACTTGTTAAGGAGATTTAACCACCTTGATATGATCCTAGAAGAAGCTCTACCAATTCCCAACACAACCGAGAAGATGTCTTCCACCTCCTGGCTCGTTCCACATGGAAGACTCCCTACCAACGGACAAGCCTCCATACTTCAATGGAGACAACTATCATCATTGGAAGAAATTAATAAAGGTATTCATCCAATCCAATGATCTTGATGTTTGGGAGATAATAGAGAATGGCTACTCTTCTCCAAAGAAGAATGAGAAGAAGCGGAGTGACAAAGAACGGAAGAAAGCTCAACTTAATGCCAAGGCCATGCACATGTGTTTTGTGCATTTGGTCCTGAAATCTATGAAGGGGTTTCTTCATGTTCAAGTGCCAAGGAGCTTTGGAATAAGCTCGAGGAAATCCATGGAAACAAGAAAGAAGAACCAACAAAGGTGGTGTCTCTAATGGCTTATTAAGAGCCTGATGTATCTTCTAACTCAAATGAATTTAATTCATATACATTTGATGAGTTACAAGATGCTTTTAATAGGTTATATTCGGAGTTTGAGACCATGAACTCCAAATATAAGAAAATAATTTCAAAATTTAAAATTGAAAACGATTTTCTTTTGAAAATAAAAATAGATTTTGAAAGCCAAAATGAAATTTTGAAAAAGGATTTAGAGCTTTCAAAAATAAAAATTGATAGTTTTGAAAAACAAAATTTTGATTTAAAAGTTAAGCTTGAATGCTTAACAAAAGAAAAAGAAATCATTTTAAATAATTCATTTAGTTCAATAATGACAATATGCTCGCATTGTCATTATCATGGTCATTTGGAACATACTTGTCCTTTGAAGAAAGGAAAAAGTTTTAAAATTAGGCAAGTATGGGTTCCAAAAGGAACAAGGGGCATTGAAACTAACGTCCAAGGATCCAAAGCAATTTGGATACCAAAATCTACTTAAATGTCTCTTGTAGGAGTGTGGGAGCAATGGTGATGAGAGTAATGATATTCAAGATGCTCTAGCCACACACGAAAAAGGAATGGGTAACCTCTAAGCTTAATGCTTTTAATTTAGGTTATTTGGTTGCTCATTTGATTTTAAGCATGCATGAGTTTTGGTTTTAAATGATTATGCATCATTGTTTTAATCTCATGTATGTTGAAAAGATGATTATGATGAACATTTATTTTTGAGAATTTTTAGTTCATCATAATGAATTTTGGTCAAAATTGGTTTTAAATGCAAATGATATCTCTCTAACAATTGATATTAACTTTTCAAATGTTTTGAATTTACAAATTGTAAATTTTTGACCTAAATTTAAATGATTATGCATATGGTTTAAATGAAAATGATATCTCTCTAACAATTGATATCAAAATTTTCAAAATGCATAACATTTTTGGGAACTTTATGCAAATGCACTTAATTTTAAACAATTGGTATTTCATAAAGTATTTTAGACTTGGATATATTGAATTTCATGTACTACTAACATGTTTGTTATTCTTTGTTGAAATTCAATTTTGTTTTAGTGTCAAGTTCTTAAAGCTAAATTTTATTTGGAATGTATTTATTGAGGGGGAGTTTTTGATTTTTCAAATAAATTTTTAAATGTCAAATTTACCACTTACTCTCCAAAGTTATTTTAAACTTCAAAAATCGAATTATTTTTGATATAACAAAAAGGGGGAGAAGTTTAGTTTGAAAAATTCAATTTCTTAATGAAAAAGGGGGAGCTTAACATTTTCATATGTTTTCCAACAACTAGTATCTTTTTCATTAAACATTTTATTAAGGGGGAGTTTTTGCCAAAAATAATTTTTCAAATGTTTTGTTATATTAAAAAGGGGAGATTGTTGAACTATGTTTCGATATAACAATTTAAGGCAAAATGGTTTTTGGACTTGAATTGAATTTACAAAATGTATTTGGACTTAATTGAATTTATTCAAAATTTACAAAAATAATTCAAAGTTCTTTTAATTTAAAATTGAGCACAAAAATGTTTTTATGAAGGGGTACCGATTCCCCCCAAGGGGGTACCAATTCCCTCACTGTTCATCAGCCCAACGGTCATAATATTTGAATATTATGAAGGGGTACCGATTCCCCCCATTCTGGGCAGCATATTTTTGCATAAAAATCATTCCCAAACGGCTCCAAAACATCCCCAACGGCTAGATATGACTTGAAACACATTCCAAGCTATAAATATAAGCTAAGGACACTTGAAGAAGAATGTGAACAACTATCCAAGCAATCAAACACAAGAGAAGAGTTTTTCATTCTTATTTCATCTTTCTCTTGTAAATATTTTGTTCTTGTGAGCTCAATCTTGTAAACACCTACCTTAGAGAGGTTTTCTTGTTTACATCTTTTATCCTATTGTAAAGGGGAAAGTTTCTAGCTTATCCCGTGTAAAAGCTAGGGAAAGGTTCTAGTTTAGCCCGAAAAAACTAGGGAGTTGTAAGGTTATTTCTTTGTCCTAAAAAGAAAGAATAAATTAGTGAATTTGTTGGAAAATCCTTGGTGAGGAGCTAAGGTAGTGGATGTAGACTTTGGTTGAGAAAGTCGAACCACTCTAAATCGTTGTGCAATTTTCTATCTTTCAATTTCCTTACTCCCTAAACACAAAACCGTTCCGACCCCTCTTTGCAAACCGTTCCGGTTGTCGATTCGAGCTTCCAAAAATCCCAACACTATGGGCATTTACCCCGCATCATCAGACTTTGAGTTAAATACTTGGACTGCGAAAGAATTACCTTTAGTTTTCAAGTCTTTTTAAGAGTAATACACCAGAACTGTCACTGTTTCCTTTACACTGAGGCAATCTTTTGATTTTGTGTAAAGGGTTAAACTATGTGTTTTTTTCTTTCTCGATAAAAGATACATTAATTCTAAATGACAATCATTTTAAGTTCATTTTCATGATTATATATATATACTCTTTTTTATTATTCTTTCAGGAACTCAAATATCAATGACATAGATGTTGATGATACTGACCCGAAAATTAATTTCGAGCAGCCTATGTGTCCTGAGGAATTTGAGAGTTATGATAATGGTGAAGGGTGTGATTTACCTTCTGAGCTGTTAAAGATGGTAGAAAAAGAGGATAAGAAAATTCTACCGTATAAGGAACCTATTGAGATCTTAAATTTAGGGTTTGATGTGGACAAGAATGATGTAAAAATTGGCACCACTTTATCTGATAAAGGACTTCAAAATTTGATTAAATTGCTACAAGAGTACAAGGATGTATTTTCTTGGTCATACAAAGACATGCCAGGATTGGATACGGAATTGGTAGTACATAAGTTACCAATAAGACCAGAATGTAAGCCATTGCAACAAAAGCTGAGAATAATGAAACCCAAAATTTTACTCAAAGTCAAAGAAGAAGTAAAAAAGAAATTTGATGCTAGATTTCTTAAAGTAGCCAAGTACCCTGAATGGGTAGCGAATATTGCCCCTGCAACAAAGAAGGATGGTAAAGTCCATATGTGTGTTGATGACAGAGATCTTAAAAGAGCCAGTCCAAAAGATAATTTTCCTTTGCCACACATAGATACATTAGTGGACAATACTGATAAAAATTCTCTATTCTTATTTATGGATGGTTTCTCTGGCTATAATCAAATCAGAATGTACCCTGATGATATGGTGAAAACAATGTTTGTCACCTTATAGGAAACATTTTGTTACAAAGTGATGCCATTTGAATTTAATAATGCAGGGGCAACGTATCAAAGGGCTATGGTAACATTATTTCACGACATGATGCATAAAGAAATAGAAGTTGTCGATGATATGATTATTAAAGCCAAGTCAGAAGAAGAACATGTTGAGAATTTGAGAAAGCTTTTCCAAAGATTAAGGGAATGTCAGTTAAAGCTCAATCCAAGTAAATGTAAATTTGAAGTGACATCTGGTAAACTTTTGGGATTTTTCGTAAGACAAAAAGGAATTGAAATAGACCCAGATAAAGTTAAAGCTATTCAAGATTTTCCACCCCTCAAACACAAAATGAGGTTCGAGGATTTTTAGGAACGCTGAATTATATAGCTCGATTTATTTCGCATATAACTGAGAAATGTGATCCTATTTTTCACCTCCTTAGAAAGAGTAATTCTGAGATATGGAATGAAGAATGTTAAGAAGCCTTTGATACAGTTAAAAAATATCTATCAAGGACCCCCAATCTTGGTAATACTCATCCTAGGAAAACCCTTAATTCTTTATTTATCAGTTTGGGAAAATTCAATTGGATGCGTATTAGGAGAGCACAATCAAACTGAGAAGAAAGAAAGAGCTATTTATTATCTCAGTAATAAATTCACTGAATGTGAAACTAGATATTCTTTAATTGAGAAATTATGTTGTGCTTTGGTATGAAGCACTCGAAGGCTCAAGCAGTACATGTTGTATTGCACTACATGACTTATATCCAGATTTAATCATTTGAAATATCTAATAGATGTACCTGTATTATTTGGAAGATTAGCTCGTTGGCAAATTTTTTTGTCAGAATTTGATATCTAGTATGTCAGTCAAAAAGCAGTAAAAGGAAGTGCAATAGCTGAATTTATTGCAAGTAGAACTTCTCAAGAATATGAGCCAATAGATTTTGATTTTCCTGATGAAGATTTGATAAAAATCTCAGTAAGAGAATCAATTACATCCACTAATGAATATTGGAAGATGACTTTTGATGGTGCTTCAAATGCATTGGCGCATGGAATTGGGGCAATTTTAGTCTCACCAGACGGAAAACATTATCCGTTTACCAGTCGGATTAATTTTGATTGTACAAACAATATGGATGAGTATGAGGCATGTATTTTGGGTCTTAGAGCAGTCATCGAATGTAAAGTAAAAATGCTCAAGGTTTATGGGGATTCAGCTCTAGTAATTTACCAAATTATAGGAGAATGGGATACAAAAGATATCAAGCTTATAAAATATCAGAAACTGGTTCTGGAACGCATCAAAGAATTTGAAGAAGTGACTTTCGATTACATCCCCAGAGAAGAAAATCAAATGACAGATGCCTTGGCAACTTTGGCAACTGTATTTAAGGTAAATAAGCATTCAAGCATGATACCTATTGAAATGCAGACTTATGAGTATCCAACTCATTGTTTTAACATTGAAGAAGAAGAAGAGAAACCTTGGTACTATGATATCTTGCAATATATAATATATTAAAGTTATCCTGAATAAGTAACTGAAAATGATAAGAGAATTGTTCGAAGAATGGCATCGAGATATGTACTAGATGGTGAAATTTTGTATAAAAAGAGCCTGTATCAAGTCCTGTTGAGATGTGTGGATACTAAAGAAGCTAAATCAATTCTTGAAGAAGTACATGAAGGAGTATGTGGTACTCATGCTATTAGGCATACAATGGTTAGACAAATTATGAGATTTGGATACTATTGGTCAACTATGGAAACTGACTGCATTAATTATGCCCGAAAGTGTCACAAGTTTCAAATCTATGGAGACAGGAGGTATACTCCTCCTCACCCGTTGCATGTAATGATAGCTCCTTGGCCATTCTCTATGTGGGGCATAGATGTTATTGGACAAATTTTCCCCAAAGCTTCAAATGGCCATCGCTTTATTCTAGTAGTAATAGACTATTTTACCAAATGGGTAGAAGAAGCTTCTTATATGAACATTACTCAGTACACAATTTGTAATTTCTTGAAAAAAAGAGACCATTTGTCGATATGGTTTGCCAGAAAGAATAATTACTGACAATGCTTTGAATTTAAACATCAAGATGATGAAATCAGCTTGTGAACAATTCCAGATAAAGCATCATAATTCCACCACTTATAAGAATATCAAGAGGCTTATAGAGAAGATGACTGAAACTTATAAAGATTGGCATGAGAAACTACCATTTGCTCTGTTGGCTTATCGAACTTCAATACGAACATCGACTGGGGTAACTCTGTTTTCATTAGCCTATAAGATGGAAGCATACTTACCTATTGAGGTAGAAATTCCTTCATTAAGAGTTTAATTAGATGTAAAACTAGATGAGGCATATTGGGTACAAACCAGATATAACCAGCTGAATTTGATTGAAGAAAAGAGAATGAAAGCTATTTGTCATGGTCAGATGTAACAAAAGAGGATGATACGAGTAAATGATAAGAAATTTCACCTCTGAGAATTTTACGAAGGGGATCTTGTGCTCAGAAGGATTTTACCCTTTCAAAAGGATTAACGAGGAAAGTGGATGCCAAATTGGCAAAGACCTTATATTGTAAAAAGGGTTTTTCCTGGAGGAGATTTAGTCCTTACTGAAATGGATGGACCTAAATTATCTTACCCAGTATATTCTGATATGGTGAAAAAGTATTTTTCATGAAAATAAAGAATGATTTAAGATCTCGTGATATTTGAAGGAATTCTACACCTTTATTATAATGTCAAGATCCTTTTGGCCGAAATTATGCTCATATCACTTTGTGGCGTACCAGTTCAAAAGCATTTGTGTTATTGGTGTTTGAGGACGCCTACTTTGTCTTTTATAAATAAAAGTTTTCCATGTAAAATCTTTTCATTAATAAAGAGATACCTTATCTTCTTTTTATAAGCATCTTGCTTTGAAAATTTAAATATGTAGTTTAATTTGAAGTACATAAAATCATGGTGTATTATTGTACAAAACGTTTTTGAAAAGTGCAAATATTCTGAGGCTAGCAATGTTAGAATCTACGATACATGATACATTGAAGTCCATAATAGGTTCAGATACTTTGAAAGATTTGTATTGAAGGGTTTGTCATTTGTACTGATAGAAGTCAAGAAGAACAAAAATAGGTTTGGCCAATAAGAATCAAGATGGTCGACTGGGATAAAAGGATTATGCACTAATGATGAGATTGAGAGACAAAAGAGGCATTGTTCTAAGAAATAGAAAATACCCCAAAATTTTATCGTTACACACATTTTAGGCATAAATAGGATCATGACTTTCATAAATGCACGATAACAAACCTCTGCAGGTTTTTTCGAGAAGAAAACCAAAAGTTCAAAATCCCGAGATTGGAGTAATCAACTCAAAATCCCTAAAAAGAGGGATATCCAAAGATTGTATGAGCCTAGTAACCACAGAAGAGTAGTGGAACAATTTCTTTCTAATGTTGCAAATTTGATCTCCCTGAAAGAGCAGTGGAAGCAAATCAATCTTGAGTCTGATCTTCACAGAAGAGTAGTGAAACAAATTCTTCTAAAGTCAATCTGATCTTCACGGAAGAGTAGTGAAATAGATTCTTTACAAGTTAATCTGATCTCCACGAAAGAGTAGTGGAAATAGATTCTTTCAATGCAAATTCAAGCCTTCATAAAAGAGTAGTGAAGCAATGCCAATTCAAGCCTTCACAAAAGAGTAGTGAAGCAAGATCAGATCAAAAGTTCTATCTCCATGAAAGAGTAGTGGAACGAATTTTTATCAAAAAGCCAATTGGACGAAAACTTCTTGTCTTTCTATCTTTGCTTTATTCTTGTTAACACAAAAATAAGTAAAGAGGGGTAGTTGTCGACAATCATTTTCATTCGAATCCCGATTTGTTATAAATATTATATTATTATTAGTATATATTATTATTATTATATATTATTATTATATTATAATTAATTGTTACAATTTTATAGGCCCAAATGAAAAATGGATTTAACCCAAGACCCGATTACAATCCAAACAACCATATTACAAGTAAATTTTAGCAGATCAGGACCCGGTTCAGGCCTAGACTTGACCTAAACAGCCCAACAGGCCTAGAAGCAAAATCAAATGCTGCTAGGGTTTTCACACAGGTTCCAGCGTCGCACAGATCTCAGCCGTTGGATCTAGAGAGATCCAACGGTCCCAAGTGTAACCAGAAGAAACCCTAAGGTACTAATTGTAACCCTAGGGCTATTCCGGCCGCCGTCATAGTATGATGATGTCTCCACCGCCGAATGCTCTAACTAACAATAGCCACGTAGTTGCCACGTCCTCACCGGATTCACAAGATCTTAATGCACCCAGACTCTCCAACGCACAACTCACCACCCCTAAGGTAAGTCACCATCGTAGCTCCGGTGACTCACCGGAGTTTACCCTTTTAACCGGTCCAAAGAGAGCATCGAAGGACCCTATAAATAGGGTGATCCTACAAGAGAAGAAACAATGAGCAAAGAGAGCAAGCAAGCACCCAATAATAAATAAACATTCCAGAAAAATAATGAGAAGAGAGCGAAAGAAGCCTTACCATCGTCAGAGAATCTACGCGCCTCCACACGCCACTGGAGAAGATGAAACACCGAAGGTATAAACCTTAGATCTGTTCCGATAAAGGGATTTTTAGGGTAAAAAGCTCTCGGTTTAGGCTTTAGGAGAAAGAGAGGAACATTTCTAGGCAGTTTGGTATTTTTTGGCCACCGTGTGTGGTGGTCGACAGTGGCGAAATACAGTGGCGAAATACAGTG